GTTATAATATGTAAGTTAGAACTATAGGTATGTAGGGTAGGTTTAACTCACTTTTTCATTCATTAGACGAATGAGATCGTCAAATTGTAATTTGTAGAAGACCTCATTTGTTTGCGTTCAAACTATGTATCTGTACACTTGTTATCCAATAAATATCATTTAAAACAGTTCACACCTAATAACGTTTATTATATTGGTATCACAGCGCTAAAAATTAAAAGTACACAACATTAATAAAAGCTAATCTCACAATGATCGGAGTCCATTTTTTTTTATAAATCATATCGGTTGGGCCATTAGCGATCTGCATGAGTAGTTAGTATTATTTGGCTACTTAAAAAACGGACATGACACATTATCATATGTAATCCATCTCGATAGAGTGCGCTTCTCTAATTCTGTTGCTCGCTTGTGAGTGGGCGCGCCTCGGCCGGCTGCTGTGACCGGTACGTCGTACCGTCTCATAAATACGAGTATAAGGCATAATTTTGTAATTATGTAAAACGGTAAAAAAAACAAGTCTAAATCGTTTGCTATCTGTAACGCAATATAAATTAATGACCATTATAATAAATTCGTAGACGGCAAATGTTTAAAGTATATTCTGTTCTGACCAATCGATGCAAGTGTTCTACTTTTATCATTTAATTAAAATGAGACTACATTCATGACTCGTTAGGAGAGAATATAATATTTAGTAGTAAAGGTGCAGTTATAAATATATAGGCACTAATCACATAAAATTGGGTTTTAAGACAGCACGTAAAATATTATCTAATAAAATAACTCATCACTCATATTTTATTACAAAATGATTTTTTAAATTATACTTACTGATTTGGAGATGAGATAATGGTACTGCATTTTTACTGTTTATATTCATGATCAGTTAAATCGAAGTTTTATAAGAGATCGCGAAAAAGGAATCCGAGAAGCCGGAAGGAGACATTACAAATGACCAAGGACTGGTGGCTTGTACACGGCCGCCAATAAGTGGAGATCTTTCATTGTTTTGTTATGATAATGTCGAGTGACGAGTCGCTGTGTCCGAAAACGTGAATTAGGTATTTACATTTGCAGATCTATGAGGTAGTGCTAAACTGTAATTAAAATACAGTGAGTACTCTTCAACGCCAGGAACTTCCGCATCAAAACCCTCCAAATCTCTTCGCTATACTCAAATTTGACTTCTAATTACTGAGCCACTACCGACATTTTATGTTTCCTTGGGTCATAACTTTAATTAATTCTTACATCGTATGAGCTTTTCTCACGCTGTATTATTGTAATTAAATTGTAGTGTTAAGGTTCCTTCTATTCAATTATTTCTTGTAATTATAATTTGATTTGGTACGTTAATCTTCACTATCTTTGTTTTTTTTCCTTCTAGAGATAATTTTTATAAATTTTGGAATACACGTGTTTTGCCATTTTGCATTTACCAACACATGGATGTTCATACAATAAAACGTCAAAAACGAATAAAATGTGTGATCTTGTTCAGTAAACAGTGTGTGACTATACACTAGTCAAGCTTAACATGACTTAAAAATTGTGTTGGTTAGCAGATTAGTACGTACTGATAGTTATATACCTAAATAAGTAATATATTAATAACGTCATCGTAACACAAATCATATGCAATTAAAACAGACCCATCAATTATCTTCAATTCATTACAAATTATTGTAAATTTTTCGAGGACAAGCGTTTAACTTAGTTGGTGAGGTTAATAATAATTCTAGCAATATATGAATGGGTCACAGGTTGTTAATATTCTCTCTAAAAATATTAATGAAGAATAATAACTCGAGACATCTCACACACGGCATTGTGTTATGGTAATTAATCAGACTAAAACATTCTTACATATTTCTGAATTCATACATATTATACATAAATTACCCCCAGACACACAACAAATGATCGAGTTCATCATACAATTCTGGCTTTGACTGTAAGCTACTTGCTGACCACCAGGCTAACAGACCGATCAAATAAATAATAAGGATTTATAGGATAGTAGCAGTTTTTTAATCGGTTGCGTCATTGAATATTAGAATTAGATGTCTCTGTCCTTTTAATAATTTTCCATCTTTACAATCGTTTTATTTTAAATTATTAACGAACAAATATGCCCCATGCCATGTCAATGCCAATAGGCATATCGTAGTGTTATGTGATTTTCAGTTATAATTACTATATAACTTTAATCATTTTATTTAATCCTAAATGCTGAGATGCCCGACAAGTTTCGAACGGAGCTGAAACTTTTCAAGAAGCATAGCGACCTTCTGCGTCGGTATCAGGCGCTGATGGATTTTGTTTGTTAAATTATTAGAAGTAAAACTTTAGTAAAGGTTCATTTTAAGTTTTTTCTTATAATTAGGTCTATAATGGTATTAACAGTTTTATAAATATTTCTTTGGGTCAGTTACTTCATCACAAAAGTGTACGAATTTATGGTTTGTACTTGTGGGCAAATTATTTAATAAATACACAAGACGTTTATAACTAATCTAGAAATAGATTAAAATACAAACTAAGTTATGTCTTTCAGGTAAAAAGTAACATATTTTGTTTGCAAAATTGAATAGAAATAAAATACCACTCGAAATATTTAAAATAGCATACAGTTTTCTTGACTTAATACATCTTTAGGTAATCTGATCTTTTTTCAATAATATACCACATACACATTTATGGGTTAAATACCCGTAGCTTATCACATTATATTCGTCGATTTCAATGATTCCTCTCGATACTGAGATCATTTTAGTTTTGTTATACAGCAGTTGTTTATTAAATGTCTGCATATTAAATACTGTGTTTTAGATAACCGAACTAAGAACAAAAAACATGAGGAAGTTACCAATTATAAAATACAAAACCGAGAATGATGTAATCTAATTTATAGTAGGAAAACATCCACTACCTACGGATATGTCTTATTTGTATTCGACACTTCAGCAAGTTTACTATGCCAGTGTCTATACACATCGAAATTTTAGTTTAGTGGATCCACTAGTAATTCTTATTCCATTTCTATAGATCCACGCCATAAAATAAATGAAATAAATAAATAAATCGGATCAGATCCCTTAATTTCTTTTTGCAGAATGAGTACTTGTACAATCAAGTAAAAAAGGTTTTAAAGCAAAAATATCCTTTACCGAGACCGTTATAATGGACAATTACAGTTTTATTAATATAAAACAGAAATTTTATGAAAAAACACCACCACCAGTTACCACTGTACATCAAAGTCTCTCCTAATTATTTTGAATCTATCTTAACATTGCCTGGAAACGATTGCATTTAGCAGTAACCACCAAATCAGGCAGACATTCAGACATTCAAAGTATCTTTGTGTTGCAAAAGAAAGTTATTCGCGCAATTTATAATGTCAGTTATAGGCAGTCACTGAGGGATAAGTTTAAAGAAATTGGTACCATGACAGTCGCATCTCAATACATACATGAAAATTGAGTGTATCTAAAGAAAAATATTAATTTTTTCACAAAGTTTAGCGACATGCATAAAAAAGTAAGCAAGTCTTTTCGAAGTCAGGGTGTGCGAATCTACAAAATAATGCTAAGCAAATTTCATGAATTAAGTATTAACAAATTTAATGCTTTAGTAAAACTAAAACTATGTAAAAAGGCATACTACACGATTACAGATTATTTAGATGACAAATTTGTCAATGGTTTAGCAACCATACACACTGACACAATACCATATTAGTCAGTTCATAAAAAAGTTTTACTAACATATAAACTTGAACACTAACTGCTAATTAAAAAAAAAACAGCTTATACACCATGTATAATATTACTGCTAAAGGAAACTATGTATAAATAGCCTAGTGTTCGAGTTTTCTTTACCTTTATTTCATTAAGTCTTCTGTCAGTGTGTTCAAATAAAGATGTTATGCCAACAACGGTGTTGTACCTAAAAAAGACGGGCTATCACTTGACACACAAACGAACATGAACGTCCTATTTTACTCTTTTGAAGACCTTATTTAGTAGTAGTGTTACTGAAAGCTTTAATTGGTCACTCAAAGGTCAACCAAGAACCTTTCTTCCTGCAGTTGTCTTTTTCTCTGAACTTACAGTTTTCTTTTGTTAGATCACTTTGCTAAGAGTAAGCTAACGAAAGCAAGAAAGAAATTATGATTGTCTGTAGTCCGACATTGTGATACCATTGAGTGTGAATACAATTTTGTTTCAACTTAAGCTAATAATACAAATATTTAGGTTCAAATTTTTTAATGAAAGATTATTAAAACAACATTCTTTGTTATTCATTTATTTTCACGCAATGAAAATGTGAATATATTATAAAACATTTTTGAATTTACTAATTGTATCATGAAAGTAGAAAGTTTGAGAATTTACAATCATGTTTGTAAATTGCGGACTAGGGTAGTTTGAAAGTTAATTACTTTGGCAGTTAAAGTCACGTTAACATATTTCTGTCTTACCTCATTGAATGACCAGCTCATCTATTTATTTCACTATGCTTTTGGGGAAAGTTTAGAGCTTTAAACTTTTCCCAAAAGCATAGTGTGTTTGGAAAAGTTTAAAACATCCCAAGGAAGTTTGAAACCATCATAATAGCAAGTCTAAATCTTTCAATATTATATTAATTAGCAGTCCGGTCACTGTAAACTGAGAAAATCTGTGCGATATTTGGCTTCATTTAGTGAAAAACTGTTACCCTAAATAAAGTAAATATAAAATTGTGAGTTTTACGGTTCTTCGCTATTGACCAAAAGCTTTGATCGATACAAATAGGATTGCGAATAGATGTTTTGAATTTGGACGGTAATAGGCAGAAACTGTTTAGTTTGGAAACTCATTTGTAAACAATGCGTACGGATTAGAGTAAATATTACGCGTCAATTTATTGAAACATTTAAACTACTTTAAGACATAACAAGAAGAATATCGTACAAAAACATTGTGTATTTAACAATCGCCAACCCTTTCTGAATGAACAAAGAGGAAGAGCTACGATGTCACCCTTCTCTGAGCGGGTCGAGTGAGCGTTCGACGGGCCGTGTGGGGCGAGCGGCCGGCGCCACAGCAGTAGCGAGCGACGCCGCACCCGGACCGCACCACCGTCGACCGCGCACTGAGCCAGCCGCGACGTCCACTCCGCGATACATTGCGAACCTGTTCCAAAATCGAACCCCAAACAACGCACCTGGGGCAGGAGGTGGACAGGACACTGTATTGTGCACAAGTGACCCCTATTGGACGACCGTGACGACTGACCGGTACCTACCTGACCGCGTCATGCAAAACGCCCTCGGATGTTGATACGGGGTTGCCCAGCTGCCCCCTCTGCTACCAGTTTTCGACTTGTTCCACAGGTATTTTCGATTATTGCTGTGACCTGTTCTTCTCAAACAACGTGTTGTATCATTCTGATAACATCGTTAGGCGTGCATACTTATGCACTGATGTATAAACAAAACTAATTAATAATTATTATTCATTTGACATTTGGATGTAAATGTATGATAGTTTTGAATAAAGCTGTCTCTTGATTTTTTAAATGTGCACTGATTAAAATAAGGGGTTCTATATTGCATAAAAGTATAAACACGATCGATTAACTTAACAGTTGATATATGAGCTGATAACTGATTGTTAAATGATAATGTAAAAGATATACAATATAATTATATATATATATATATATATATATATATATATATAGGTTTTTGTATTGTCTAAATGTGCTAGGATGTAATATATTGTAATCAATTCCATGCAATTATTAGCCGATGATTAATAAAACATATCAGCACAAAATAAAGTCGGCTGTTCTTTGTTTTCATTAAAAAAAACTACATTTTACATAAGTGGTTTTTATGTGTATTATGTATTTATGGTTCAATTAATTTACGGTTATAAAAATATATGTAAACAATCGTTGTTACACAAAATATTGACAAAATCTTTTTGTAGTCTTCTACTACAAAAAGATTTTGTCAATATTTATTATTAATAAAACGGTACTAGCTTCTTTTTGGTTGGTGGTCTATAAATAAGACAAGCAAGGGTATTGAAAATAGCTTTGAGTAATCAATAGCTGTGACTTATATACTTAACCTTATCAACCTGTTCTTTCGTTTTTTATTACTTGAAAAGTATTTCCAACTATACTTAAAAGGTTCAATCCCCAATTTGGGCAAAATATTCACGCATGTATCAATTTAGAAATGACGCATTAACGAAATATATTCAGATTCTTGGATAAAGTACATAATTAGGTAGTAATATCTCGGCAACACTTCCGTGTCGGGCGCAGGGCGCGGGCGCAGGCGCGGAGGTAGCCGCGCTCGTCAACAGATTTATAGCGAGTTTGACCGTGAGAGCTCAAGCGTAGCCGTTTTTTGCCTAATGCGTTATTTATTAAAATTTGATTATAAAACAACCAAAGTTAATTTTATAAGTCGGAGTCGTGTCAAAAGTTGGAATATAAAACATAAAATACTGTCAACTATTGGATATTTAATGAATATGTATGTACAGAGCTCACATATTTGTTTATTCATAACGAGGAGACCTCAATTTAGCTCTTTACGATATCTGATGTGAATAAGGATGAAGGCTGGACGTAAATATAATTGCTTACTCTAGGTTTACGGTTTGCAATATTTTACGTCATTTGTAAAATCGATTACGTACTGTTCTTAAAAGTTGCTCTTAATTGATATCCTTAAATGTATGTATGACAACATTTTGAGGCTGCGCAAAAGTGTTGCGCGGCCATTGCCGTAAAAAACATATTTCAGATGTCACGTAATATGTGTAGAGACCAAAAGAGCCGCTAAAGAGCCAGCTGCCACGAGTGGTGTCCGTGTACCAAGACATACATTAGAATAGTATTTTCGAATATCCAATATTGGTTTTGGCGGCGGTCGTTGTGCAAACAATTAATGTTTATTTCTCTAAAACACCGGAGCGAGCGCTCACATTTTTGTTGAGATAATAATTGATTTTTTATTTACTTCTAGAGTGTTGCCGCACAAAGACAACGGCAAATAACATTAGGCACATTTTCTCACGGAACGGGGATCATCGTCACAGTCCGTTATAGTATTCTTGCGAAAAGCTCTCGGGCAGATATTGCATGCAGCAAGCAGTGACCGAGCTCGGCCACTCGTGTGTCATACGTCAGATCAAATCTATGAGATAAAACTAAAACTAATGTACACTCAACTTAAAGCTTTTCACAATCACCGGTGAAGGCAATAAATAAAGCTTCGTCGAAGAACGGGAGCAATTAATATGGGCGCGCCCAGCTCGCGTGAAAGTAGCAGACGCGGACCACATGTGTGGACCGCGGTCGCGACTATTCCAACTATTTATATTATATATATATTATATGTGGCTTGCCTTCACGCATCTTAATGAAATATGACAACATCACATGCATTGAACTTGTGCCCTCTATCTGCTGAAATTATACTCTTACGATTAAGGTCCTGGTCAACGATTAGTCACATCATTTTCTAAACCTAATTGTTGTATTAGTTCAGGTGTATTGTTTCCATTGTACTCTTTAATTAGAAAGTTCAGTTTCCTCATAAAAAAGTACTACGGCTTAAAGTATTAAAACCGTAATATATTTTTTAATTAATAATAATAATAAATTCTTTATTGTAACAACTGATTCATACAATTCAAGTGAAAGCCCTTATTTAAATTAAATTGCAATAATTAATAAGTATTTTTTGTGTATTTTGGCTCTAAACTTCTTTAATGAAACTTTGATATCACAAGGATAGCAATAACAGTAAGTAAGCACATTAAATATTATCAAACAAACAGTGCTTCTATGTGAATGGCATATCAGACGAAACATGCATTAAAGTTGAGATTTTAATTATTTTTTTATTTAATTGTAGGGGTACATTTAAAATAATTACAGTATATAGTAAGTAATAGTTACATTTTAAAATAAAATATATTTGAATGTTTTGGTATTTATACCCCAATGGCGAATGAAATTGAAATTGGTGTTCAAATAAGTGGTTTGACAACGGGTATGTTGGTTCTAATCAGTATTAATTTATCTTAATTACCATAATTATGTACATACATGTATAAGTATAGATCATGTGTAAACTCAAATTGCATGCAAGAGCTATAAAACCCGTGGTGGACGTTCAAGTGTTCGGAATACATTGAAATCATTTATCTTTCTAAATTGCCATAATAATAGGCTAAGATGCTGTAAAACATAAAAGGCCCATAGGTGTAGGTACAATTAGTTCCATATCCAATTACTTTGCTGAGCTTGAAATTTGGTTGACCCACATTTAAAAACATTTTGCGATACTACCTCCTACGCATACGAGTGACATGCCGGTATTGGCTTTTCGTTTATTCCAATACTAGCTGACCCGCGCAACTTCGTCTGCGTCTCTCAATAGTAATAAATTTTCTCCGTTTTTAAAACATTCTTCATTGGTGCTCCGCCCCTATTGGTCTTAGCGTGATGATATATAGCCTATAGCCTTCCTCGATAAATGGGCTATCTAACACTGAAAGAATTTTTCAAATCGGATCAGTAGTTCCTGAGATTAGCGCGTTCAAACAAACAAACAAACAAACTCTTCAGCTTTATAATATTAGTATAGATATGGCAACGGCATCGGTGGAACAGAGCCCCACACTCGCCCAACCGAGTGTATGCTAATTCAGGCCGCGGGCGTGGAGCGCGGCAGGGCGCGTCGCACCTATGTATGTTACAGAGTGTACACATGGTATGCAATTACCATTTTATTAGTTGCTTAGCCGCCTCGACTTGATGGAATTTCACTCAAATAAGTGGGTGTACCAAACATCTTGAACATTTTGGCGAGTATTTGCACTCAATTTTACATTACAGAACGATCGGTTTTAAAGATCAATTTGAACTTTCAAAGTTCATATTTACGTTAATGAATGATGTAGAGTTCAAATCACTATGATACTAAAGAAAATGTCTACTGTAGCGCTTTTTTTTTTAAATTGTTAATAAGTGGACATTCGTGTTAAATTAAGTATAATTTGTTTTCAGTCCACGGTATTAAAATGACATATTTTCATCCATATCTACAGTACAATCGAGTCCTATTTTTGTCGGTATTTACTGTGTCCCGGCTGATGTATTATTTCGTGTATTTAGCGAGTGCCCGAGAATTCCACGCGCGTAGTGTTTTTCTAGGTATGATGCGTGCGCGCAGCGCGGAATGCGAGCCACATGACTGCTCTCTCTCGGTCGCATTCAAGGGTAGACATGTCTCAAAACGTTCTTTAGTGGTCTATAGAACATGTACACTGAAAAAATAAAGTCCAGTCTTTTATGTCTTTGACTATTAATTATTTAGTTAGCCCAAAGTAGGAGTAATATCAATAAAATTTGTATTATATTTTTTATTTTAGGAATATATGATAATTTCGTGTCTATAAAAAAATAGTTAAAATGTATGTAATCACAACACATCACAATATGTAAATGTCTACAGTGGTTTATGTTATAAACTTCTTCTTGTGCTAACAGATACAGTGTCAAGTATATTTAAAGCTAAGTACCCTCATGAGAATATAAATACAATACGTGATTAATAAATAGTTGTTCTTTTAGCTAAGTTTTATATTAGAACTAACTGAAGCAAAGTTGTCAGTTAATTGTAAAACTATGTTCAGATAATTGATAATGAAGATATTTGAGCATAGCTTAAGTTTTTAAAAAGTAAGCCTAAGTTTTTAGAGTTGTTACCAAATTGTGAAGCGTCTGGGGGAGTTTGTAAATATTAACAAAGAAACGAAATTATTTAAATATTATGTTCAACATTAAACATACACTGTAGGTTATCAATTTTAGATGTGATTATGTTTTATTGTTTACCCCAGAAACTCCTATTTTAATATGTGTACAGAATATGTTCTAATAAATGTATTTATGTTCAACGGTAAACACAATCTGAAAGAAATACACAATGCCTTCACACATGACGCATAACATAGCATCTGAATACGATGTGGCTACGGGCTACGCATCGTAGATCATAATCGGACGAGTATTTATTGGTGTGCGCTTTCTATAGCCCAGCGCCCGCTAAAGCTGTATACTCACGGATGTCATGTGAGACGCGATATTACAACCAAATATTTTATTGCAACTTCCAATCGTCAACATTATCTTCGTATGCCAAATGTGAAAAAGCGTGAGTGGCAGGTGTACGTTAGGATTTATTATGAATTTAATTTTTAGTAAAACATTCGGTGGCAGCTATACTTCGACATAATTCATTTATAGT